CTGTGCTTACAGATGGACTTACAGCAGTAGTACCAGTACTGTCTGTTCCTGTGCTTACAGATGGACTTGCAGCAGTAGTACTGTTACTGTCTGTTCCTTTGGTTACAGATGGACTTGCAGCCGTAGTACCAGTACTGTCTGTTGCTGTACTTTTAGATGGACTTGCATCAGTAGTATCTGTACTGACTGTTCCTGTGCCTGCAGAGGGAGGTTCAGTAGTAGTACGTACGCTTTCGCCTCCTGTGGTTACAAATGGACCCGAGCTACTTGTACTCCCATCAAATTTGGTCCTTTCACTTGTTGTTGGTGAATAGCTTGTACTAGATTGTGAGTTTTGTTTTATTTGTTCCTCACTATCTGTAGACTCTGTATATCGTGTAATAATAAATGGCGTTGGTTGAGTCGATCTTGATGATGCCTCAGTAGCAGTACTTGCACTGTCTTTTTCTGTGTTGACAGATGGACTAGAAACAGTAGTGTATTTAGTAAGCGATCCACTGGTTTCCTTTTCTGTAGTGGCAATGGCTGCGCTCAAAGTCGTCGATGGGCCCTCTTTAATAGTAGTGGTTCTATCCACTTCTGATGTTGGTGTCGCCGATGTTGTCCCTGTGCTCATAGATGACTTTTCTGCCGTGGAAGAAGTCGCGCCAGTAGTACTCGATGGTGCCTCTGTAATGTAGGTTGTTCCACCTATTTTTGATGTTTTGGTAGGTGATGTGGTCTCTGTGCTCACAGATGACGTTTCAGCCGTGGAGGAAGTCGCGCCAGTAGTACTYGATGGTGCCTCTGTAATGTAGGTTGTTCCACTCACTTTTGATGTTGTGGTAGGTTTTGTTGTTTCTGTGCTCACAGATAACGTTACTTGCGTGTAAGAGGTAGCACCAGAAGTGCTCGAAGGGTTTTCAGTACTGGAGGTAGTTCCATCCACTTCTGAGGTTGTGGTCTGTGATGTTGTCTTTGCGGTCACAGATGACTTTTCTTGCGTGGAAGAAGTAGCACCAGAAGTTCTCGAATAGCGCTCTGTACTGGAGGTGGTTCCATCAACTTCAAATGTTGTGGTCGGTGATTTTGTTCCTGTGCTAAGAGAAGACTTTTCTTGCGTCGACGTGGTTGCACCATAATTGCCTGATGGCGCAAAAGTATGACCCGAAGTAGTTGTGGTTGGAACAGGTGTCACCAAAAGCTTATGGGTTTTCGAAGTTATTTTTACTTCTTCTGTCTTCCTAGGTGACGTACTTCGTGTGAGTGTTGCAGTTGTACTTGAATACTTTATCTGTTCTTTAGGGTTAGTGATATCACTAAACACTGTAACCTGGAATGGAGTGTGGGTGTTTGTAGTTGGTAATCTACCCTTATTAGTAGTTGATCCGCTTGTTGAACCAGCCGTTGTTGATTCTTCTGAAGTGGATGTTGATCTATGTATTCCAGATGTAACAGTTGTACTGGCAGTTGTTCCTTCTACTTCTGATAATGTCGCGGTTGACGATTTACCGGTTCTTACAGTCGACTCTTCTTCCGTTGCTGAGGTTGCACCTGCCGTTGAAGATGGTACTTCTACAGTTGTTCCTTCTGCTTCTGATGTTGTCGTGGATGACGTTGTTTCAGTACTTACAGTTGACTTTTCTACCGTTGCTGAGGTTGCACTGGGTGTTCCTGTTGGCTCTTCTGTACTGGATGTTGCTCTTTCTACTTCTGATGTTGTCATGGATGACGTTGTTCCAGTACTTACAGTTGACCCGTCTACTGGTGTGGACGTTGCACCAGGTGTTGATGATGGTCCTTCTGTAGTGGCAGTTGTTCCTTCTGCTTCTGATGTCGTCGTGGATGACGTTATTTCAGGACGTTTAGTTGACTGAGTTGCTGAGATGGCACTGGGTGTTCCTGTTGGCCCTTCTGTAGTGGTAGCTTTTCCTTCGGCCGCTGATGTTGTCATGGATGACGTTGTTTCAGTACTTACAGTTGACTTCTCTACCGTTGCGAAGGTAGCACCAGGTGTTGATGATGGTCCTTCTGTACTGGTAGCTGTTCCTTCTGCTTCTGTTGTTGTCATTTTTGACGTTGTTCCAGTACTTACAATCGACTCTTCTACCGTTGCAGAGGTAGCACCAGGTGTTGATGATATTCTTTTTGTACTGGTAGCTGTTCCTTCTGCTTCTGTTGTTGTCATGAATGACGTTGTTCCAGTACTTACAGTTGACCCGTCTACCGCTGATGAGGTTGCACCAGATGTTGATGATATTCCTTTTGTACTAGTAGCTGTTCCTCCAGCTTCTGATGTTGTCATGGATGACGTTGTTTCAGTACTTATAGTTGACTTCTCTACCGTTGCGGAGGTAGCACCAGATGTTGATGATGGTCCTTCTGTACTGGTAGCTGTTCCTTCTGCTTCTGTTGTTGTCAT